ACAAAAATACTCGTAGTTAGTTAAACTGTTTGCGAAGCACATTTTCTTTACAAAGTCTTGGTAGTTTGTTTTTAGTGACTCTTTATTAAGGATTGGAATCAAAAATATCTACAATTTAAAATTAAACTGTTAAGCTGAAAGCCTTACCATTAAGGAAGTTGTCTAACCTAAATTTCTTTTAGAAAAAGGGTTCACTTAACCTTCTGTGCTCCAAGTTATGGACTGCGGTTGTGCGGTTTTAAGCAAATGTCATATTGTGTCCCCTATTCGAAGTTGAGTTTTAAGAGACCACTGTTTACTTGAATCTATTGAATCTTATATTAGTACTTTCAAAATCGTTAAAAAATATTGTTTAAAGTTATATATTTGAAAGTTTTAGTAATTATGAAATGAAGAGTAAACTCTTATACAATGTCTCAAACCACCTTATCGAAATAATTAACAACAATTAATTAAAATAATAATAAAAACAATTGTATATATATATTAATTGGAATTTTGGTTAAACTTTTTTTGGGGTTTTAAATTAGATGTTTTAGTTAACACACAAAAATGTACCAATTTATTACACATAATATATATTTTCAGTAAACTTTATAAGACAACTCGATTAAGATATTTTTCATTACGCTATTAATTTATACTATAACAAGTTTATAAACGAATTTTTTTAATTTATTAAATTTATTCAATGCTTAAGGAAGTATTTAAATTATAATAAGTATTCATCTGCCTTTATGAGCATAACATTTATTTTAGAGCTGTTGATACTACAACAGCTCTAAATATTAAGGTAGGAGAATAAGACTCTTGTACAAAAAATGATATCATTAAAATCAGTGATATTAGGATTTGTTTAATAATATTATTTTTGAAATAAAAACTAATATTCCTTAATTTGACTAAAAACGATGAGAATTTAATGGAGAAAAAGGAAACTATTCCATAATTCTTCTGCATATGTCCTGCTCTGTGGTGGCAGAGATGGAAACCGCTTTTCAACAACATGAAAGAGCTGACGATAATCGATGTTAACGAACTGTAGAAGTTACAGACTGAATTGAACTGTACTATGAACTAGTTTGTTCTGACGATCTGGTAACAAAACAGTGGAAATTACTGATTGGGCTCACGATTTAAACCAAGCAATCAACCAACTTAATGTCAATTTCAATATATCATAAATTTGACTTTCAGTTTATATTGATAGTGCAATATAATAAATATATCTTTTAGACCAAACAGACAGAATCGCTTAATGTCATATATTAGTACGTTTCTTTGCGTTGACTGATTTTAATATTTGTTGATTTATTGATAGCACGCGACAGCTCCCACCGATGTAGAAAGAGCGATAGCATAACACCGTCAGTACGGAAGAATAAATATTACTATAAAAATTTTAAGTAGATTTCCAATTCAACCACAATTCAACCCTAGAGCGATCTGTTGTTTTATTATTTAATTGTTTTTCATATAAAGCCGTATTTCTCAAAGAAATTCGTGACTAAAGCAGTCAATATAGGACCATGAGTGCGTATTAAACAAAGTGATAAGCGTCGCATTACACCCTTTTCACATGAAAACGCTAAGATATGTGGGGTTGGTTTTCCCTTCAGATTTTTCTATTCTTAAGGGTACATCAGCGTAGCTTATTAGTTCATAAGACTACATGACTGAATGCTGGTAAATTCCCCATAAGAGTGCAGTTGCAGCACAAAATGCTAACTTGAAGCTTTCTGGCTTTGTTTTTTTTCTTTCGACAAGTGAAGTTATATGCCATATCGGGCTAACAAGTGAATAGTTCTGCAGAGTTCGACAGGCCAAAATAATTTTTGTGGAATTGACAATTATTGATTGACATTGGTTTATTAGACTGTAATTCCATTTCATATTCAAGCAATAGGGAATTCATTATTTCTTAGTTTTTAGACATATGCAAAGAAATGAATCTCAAATTATTAAAATCCTCATTTGACAGTTTTTAAATTAGTATTTGATTGGTACTCTTTTAATTTTGTGTTTATAATGTAAATTACAAAATAAATATGTTCTCAAAGTATGGTAAAAATGTCAGAGTTTATTATTTAGATGACATTAACAAAAAACTTTTTCAACAATAACAAATTCTCTCGTCCTCGAAACCATTCAATTCCTGATACTTTACAAAACTGAGTTATGTATATTTGCATATTAACAAGCTATTTTCAATGTGAGGGTCATCATTGATATTGTAACCATTGTCAACCATAACAATTGCAGCTAGGTCATATATTATATATATCCTTTTCCACTTCTATGGTATATTATTCAGACTTGAAAGTTAGGTCATTGAAAAAAAGAATTAGTTGATAATTATTTTTGTAGAAACTCTATCTCATATAACTGTGATATTCGGAGAATGGTGAAAAGTGAATGTTGTTTGTACGAGGAGAAAGTCGATGAGATTTACCAAAATCAATTGCTGTTGCACAATATCATTGTTGTCGAAAAATTGATAAATCAAGATCAGCATGTGGAATACCATAAGATTAAAGTTAACTTAAGTATTACTTCCAAAAGTATACAAATACATAACATGATCATTTACCACTAAATGAAATAGGTTTGTTTTTGTTGGATTTTACAAAACTTCAGAGAGGAGCAAAATATGTTCAAGAATTACAATAGGCGTATTTCAAAGAACGTGCTTAATAATGTAATGAATCAAGGATGTATACTAGGGTGCCATTAATTTTCGAAAGTCGGAAAATCTTTCGCGACACCCCCCCAGATCGGTTCATTTTACTACAAAAAATAATCTGTGTAAAATTTTGCTTCAGTTGGATAAGTGGAAATGGCGAATGTTTTTTTTCAATGTTTTTGTTCATTTATTGGTATTCGGACCTTTTGCCAAAATATGATAACTTCTTGTATAGTTAATGTAGCACTTCCCTTAACCATAGCTTAACCAACGCATGATAAAAAAGGACTTTTAATACTTCCCTATTTGATGGTAATTTACTTTGTGGCAGCGATAATGATTCGACTACAAAAATATATTGATTCCCCACACCTTTTTTTACTTCAAAAAAGCATCACTGCAATGATGTTTCTAAGTGTTTCTAGGTATCAATAATGTATCGATGGTTTTCCAATGATATGCAATGAACAAAATTACATTTACTGGGTATGGTACGAGTAGTTGCATCGATGATTGCTTCCAAAGTATCGATACATTATCGCTGACGCATCGATTTTTTCTTCTGCTGGGATGTTCAAAATTTTTGGTATATATTTTATTTTTATTGTAATCAAAATACGTCTATAGAACCATGACATAAACTATGTATAAATTCAATAATTTGTTGGTACAGGTAATTTATAAACAGTTAAAATATTATAGTGAAATATAAAATCTAATATTTAATAAAATCTATTAAATATTAAAGTAAATAATAAAATTTAATAAATATTTATATAACATTTTTTAAGTTCGTTTAAATAAGTGATTAACCACCACATGCACTGCTAATTAAAAAACAAGCGATTTTATAGAAAATATCCATGCGAAATGAATATACAAGAATTCATTCAATTCACGGCAAAGGCAAACAATAAAAGTATTATTACGAAACATAAAACATGATCCTTACACACCAGTGAAAGCACCCGTACTTGTTTGGCTGATAAAAATATTATAATCTGATCTTCCCCCTTTTTGGTAATTGAAAAAGGTTTTCCCACAGGAATCCATGAGTTTGGCTTTGCTAGAAACTTTGTGCGAGTGCTGCAATGCTTTGCTGTTATTTTCCAAATCGGATTTTAGCTTTACACTAATTTCTTGGCCTTAAGTCGTACTGACAGGAGTACGCTTCGCTTGATTTCGTACTTGAGTTAATCCTGTTTGATAGCAATTAACTGCGAACGCGACGAATTAGGAACATGCGCCGCAGCGAGGACGCGACTGGTCGTGCTGCACTATGATGAAAAGAGATAAGGTTCCAAAATATATTTTCACAGTAGTTGCCAATAAAATTCACAAACGAATCTGTAGTTTTTCTATATTCAGCTTTTTTCATAAAATCAATCATTTACATTTATCTTTTACCGAAAATATTTAAGATTTCGTATATAATATTATCATATTTAATATATAGTATTTTGTATATATCAATTTTTTTCAGAAGACATTATTATTTACAAAAAAAACAACCTGGCTTATTAACGACCATTAACGCCTTAAATATAGAAGTTGTAGCACAAATTTAACCAATATTTTTATAGGTTTCCAGTAAATCATTCTTTTCCAACGTTTTTATTTCGGGATTTTGGATTAAATATTTAATTATTTTTCAAACTAAGTTGAATAAAAATACAAATTAAATAAAAATAGAAGTGAATTTAGCGAGTAATAACGAATAATTCTTGCACAATGGACGTAACTAAAGGAGGCACATAACGTGGGGGGTCTTCCCTTGCAGTGTTACCGAAGTAATATTTCATATTTCATTTCCTATGTGGTTTTGACACAAACCAGTTTCCTTATTTTATGATCTTTCTCAGCTATGGAATAAGAATACAAAACCTATTAGTTTTTAATCATGAATTAGTAAAAAGTGAGATTGTTTGAAATAGTAAAGACGAAATAGGAAATCCGTCCCGGGTTAACGTCCATGACGTCTATTACTGTCACATAAATTCGTGGGGTTGGTTATGAGCCCTTAGTCTTTAAAATAAAATTTTGTTATCTAGAAGAACTTTTTCAGATGGTAGTTGATTTATAGTTAATAGTGCGTTTTCAAAATTTCTGCTCTTATATTTCTTTGGTCTAATATGCTCACTAAAACTTAACGGGTCGCTGAATTGAATTGAAGAGTTGTGGAATTTATTATTGATATAGTATGCGACAATTAACAAATACGCTTAACGCACTAGGATTCCAGATTTCAATAATACTGAAAATAAATCTTATGCAAATTTGTCTTCAAATAAGCAATAAATATATGAGGCAATCAAAGTATATAAAAATCTGTTTAAGTTTATTACAAAATTAATTAGATGATAAACCACTATGAATTTGGGATAAAAAAATTATCTCTCGTATTCCTCTTCGTCCTCAAAATCATCTTCATCATGAATTCCAACTTCTTGAAATTGCTGATATTGATTAATAAGTTCATTTAAATTTTCTTCAGCGTCAGTAAATTCCATTTCATCCATTCCCTCTCCTGTGTACCAATGTAGAAAAGCTTTTCTTCTAAACATAGCTGTAAATTGTTCAGTTATTCGTTTAAAAATTTCTTTCAGCGCTGTTGTGTTCCCTAAGAATGTAGCGGACATTTTAAGTCCCCGCGGAGGTATATCACACACAGCGGTTTTGCAATTATTCGGTATCCATTCTACAAAATAACTACTATTCTTATTTTGTATATTTGACATTTGTTCATCGACCTCCTTCATAGACATCCGACCTCTAAAAACAGCCCCAACTGTTAAATATCGTCCTTGTCGTGGATCACAAGCAGTCATCATATTTTTAGCATCAAACATTTGATACGTCAATTCAGCAACAGTTAATGCCCGGTATTGTTGTGAGCACCTTGAATTTAGTGGAACAAACCCAGGCATGTAGAAATGAAATCTCGGGAATGGAATCATGTTAACAGCAATTTTTCGTAAATCCGAGTTAAGTTGACCCGGAAATCGTAAGCATGTCGTTATGCCGGACATCGTTGCTGATATCAGATGATTCAGATCACCCAATGTTGGGGAAGTTAACTTAAGAGTACGGTAGCAAATATCATAAAGTGCCTCATTGTCAATACATACTGTTTGCTCCGCGTGCTGAATTAAATAATGAGAGCTTAATGTGCAGTTATATGGCTCAACAACTGTTTCAGAAACTTTGGGAGAAGGATAAACTGAAAAAGTAAGCAAAACTCGATCTGGAAACTCCTCATTAAGTTTTGAAAGTACAAGTGTTCCTAAGCCTGACCCTGTTCCACCTCCTAGCGAGTGAACAATTTGAAATCCCTGAAAGTAGAGATATGGAATTAACGTAAATTTAAAAATACTCTTCATATCATAAAACCATTCTGATTTGATCATATGTGTCAATGTGAAAGTAATTTCTATATCTGCAGAAGTCAATGTTGCAATTCAACCATTTTAAATTAAGATAGAATACAAATATAGCAAACGCGTATAAAAAAGGTTAAATTTACTTGTAAACAATCACATCCTTCCGCTTCCTTTCTTACTACATCTAAGACAGAATCAATAAATTCAGCGCCTTCTGTGTAAAAACCTTTTGCCCAATTATTTCCTGCTCCCGAATGACCAAACACGAAGTTATCAGGTCGAAATATTCCGCCAAATGGGCCAGATCGCACAGAATCTAATGCACCTGGTTCTAAATCAACGAGTACAGCTCGAGGCACGAACTTTCCGGATGTAGCTTCGTTATAATAAACATTTATTCGTTCTAACTGCAAATCACTATCTCCATAGTAGCAACCACAGGGATCTATGCAGTGTTCATCAGAAATCACTTCCCAAAATTTTCCACCAATTTGGTTTCCGCACTGGCCTAGCTGAATATGAACGATTTCACGCATTTCTCTTTACAAGATTTGATAGAGTTTTTAAATTCTCGTAAAGGAGCGATACGTCGAGACGTCTCCGAGATGTAGGTAAAAATTAAAATTATGAAAGTTGAAAATAAAAAGTATTCAAAATATGCACAAATCCCTTTTATAAAAGCTACAAAACTAAAAATATCTTATAAAAAATAAGAAATATTGAAAAGAAAAATCTAAAAACAAATATAACTAAAAGAAAATAAATGAAAATAAAAAACATGTAGGTATTAAAATAAAATTAAAATAAATTATGAACTACTTTGATTAAAATCAACTTTCAAAGTTCTTGGAATATGGACTTGTGGAGCTTTCGCCTATGGAGTTTAAATGTTAGGTTGTTCTTATGGATAATTACTTGTATTACGGCAGTTTCCTGGAAACATTCCGCAAGATCTGGTGATGATTCTATGACTTAAGAAAAGATAAAAATCGTCATATTAATTATTCAGCGGATACATTGTGTTAAAAGTGAGTCTATCCGAAAATAAACGCTCAGCCAGAATTTTTTCTTCCGGGTTGTGTTTTCATAATCGAACTCTGAAGCGAGCAAAGATATTTTATACGTTTTAACACGAAAAATTTTAAGAACTTCAAGACAGCTTCAAATAATTTTTCAATAATACAATTGATCAATCAATTACATTTTTCAAATTAAAATGAGAACTAAGTGAACTCTATAGTGATATCAATTGCTTTGAACTATATACTATTTTTGGAATATATATATTATTGTATATAAGTAATTAACTACTACTATATTGAGGCTAGTTGAGGCTAGTCAGTGCACTTGAGCATTTTTACTCTCTACTAACTACGAGGTTTCTTCATAACCCTTGTCTACGCCTTGACTGGATTATTGTTTATCAATTCTTCTGACTAATCAATAACTGACCTCAGATCTGCATACCTCCCCGAGAAGCTTGTAATAATTCGAAGATTTGATAAAGCGTTGTTGGTATTCCTGTCTGATTTCGTAAATAATTTCCGAGCTCTATTCTTCATGTATCTATTGACCGGATCAATCTTGAGGTTTCTGAGAATGTCATTCGTCCTAATGTACCATGGCACCTTGAAAAGTCTTCTCAGAATCTGATTTTGTGCAATTTCCAGCTAGCATTAAAATTTTTATTTTTGAAAAGCCGTTAGAGGTGAAAAAGAATATTGGCAGAACTAATTTTTTTCAATCGAAACGCATTTATTTTATGCATCTATACATAAAAAATGTCGTGTATAAATTAAAACCAAAACTCCAAACTTAGCGTATCCAATTTGATAGAAATCTTAAACAGGAAAAGTTCCACAGTTTAACAGACTTAGTAAATGCCATAAGCATCATTTACTAGATATTAACATTAACATTTCATTAAAATCTGAAGACGAAATCGAAAGCGCGATTGTATACTTAAACGAAATGATCGCTGTTGCCGTGACAAATTCTACCCCAGTTCTTAAACAAAACGACACTCAAAATAAAATCTCGATGGCAGTTAAAAGCAAGATAATGGACAGAAGAAAACTGAGAAAACAATGGCAAATAAATCGGTCCCCTTAACTAAAAAAGGACTTAAACAAACTAACCAAAGAACTTAAAATTCTGCTACTTAATGAGAATAATAAAAACCTGCAAAAACACATAATGAACTTGACAGCTGACAAAGCCACTAACTATTCTTTATGTAAAGTTATTAAAAATATCAACAAGTCAGTAATGCATCAACCACCACTGAGGATAGCAAATGTAACTTGGGCTAGAACTAACACCGAAAAAGCTGAAATTTTTGCCACGTACTTCGAAACTACGTTTAGTAACCCAAAACAGCATGATAGTAACGTTACACGGAGCAGCTCTACTCAAAATGTCGCAATAAAGAAAGTTTCAATAACAGAGATAAAAAATACTATTAAAAATAAAATTAAAGCAAGAAAATCACCGGGATATGATAGTATCACAGGAAAGATTCTGACTGAGCTGCCTCTTCAAGTACTTGTATATATGAGAAATCTATTTAATTGCGATTTTCGCCTTAAGTATTTTCCAAAAGTTTGTAAAGTAGCAGAAGTAATCACTATACCTAAACCAAATAAGGACATATCTGTAACAAAATCATACAGACCAATTAGCCTATTACCAGTAATGTCAAAATTGTTTGAAAAAATAATTTTATCAAGACTAGAACCGATTATCCATAAAGAAAAACTTATACCTGAGCATCAATTCGGCTTTCGGAAAAAGTATTCGTCTATACAACAAGTTCACAGAGTTCTTAATAAAATAAGTAGTGATATTGACATAAAACAATTTTCCTCGGCGGTATATCTAGATGTCGCAAAGGCTTTCGACAGCGTTTGGCATGGAGGTATACTAACTAAACTATCAGAGCTTCTTCCAACAAACTTTTACCTCATACTTAAGAGCTATCTACAAAATAGATACTTTTATGTGAAGTATAAAGACTCAATCTCCGAACTAAAACAAATGAAAGCTGGTGTGCCTCAAGGAAGCGTACTAGGTCCATTACTCTACTTGCTATATACGGCTGATGTCCCGATACCTTCTGATTCTCAAAGTTTGAAAGCTTCTTTTGCAGACGATACAGCACTAATTGCAGCTAATAAAAATTTTAACATCTCCACAGACAACTTGCAGAATTACCTAAACGCAACGCTCGAACTCTCGAATGATTCGACAAATGGGGAGTTCAAATAAATACAAGCAAAACAGTTCATGTTATCTACACGAATAAAAAATATGACCTAAAACGTATAAAAATTGGCATTACTATAGATAGCAGATTAACTTGTAAAGACCATATTAAAGCTAAAAGCAATGAAATTAAGCGTCGCTTTGGACAATTGTACTGACTACTCTGCTCGAAATCGAAACTAACAGTGGAAAATAAACTACTAGTATATGAAACAATAATCGCTCCAATATGGAAATATGGAGCCGAAATATGGGGCACAGCATGTAAATCCAACATTCAAATACTGCAAAGACTACAATCAAAAATACTTAGGACTATCATCAACGTTGAATGGTACATCTCAAACTCAATGATCTCAATGACATTCATCGCGATCTAAAGATACCCTTCGTTGCAGACGTTATGCGAAAAAATAGTAAAAAGCACACAGACAGATTACTTTTCCATCCTAACCCAACAATGAGGCAGCTACCTAATGACGAAGCCATACATAACAGAAGATTGAAACGCTTATTTCCATCAGAACTAGCAATACTATAAAAATCTAACTAATATATTCATAGTAAATTCATAGCAGTCTATTTAATTGACTCATTTATTATATCATCTATTTATTAATTTTAATTATTTTATAATATTTAATTTATTTAATTTAAAGAAAAGTTTTCTTTTTTTTTTATCCACTATTAATAGTTCACTCATGTAATTCTTAATCTTGTTTTTGAATTATTACTTGAAGTTCCATTATGTAAAAATGTATACTAAATGCTAAATCTTGGCAGTTGTATAATAAAGGGAAGCAAAAAAAAAACAAAAAAAAACATTAACTGAAAATATTTTTGTGTTTGGATGAAATAAATTAAATTTAAATTAAGAGTAATAAGTATTTGACCGTGTGCGAGTTAGAGTAAATAGAGGTAAAGTAAATTGAAATTTTCTACAGACTTTTTGCACTGCACTTATGTAAATATTTATTTATTTATTTATTGCACTTCTATACTTTTCAAATTTATTTATTTAATTATTAAACATCTTATAAAATTTTTTATTTAATTTACCGTATTCGAATTTCTAGTAAATACCAACATTCCCTGCCATACCGACATAATTTACTATATCCCCCGATTTACCATCAATTTACTCGAACTCGCACACGGTCTAAAAATGGATTAGTTATCCTAAGCATCATTTACTAGAAATTCAAATTAACTGAAAATATTTTTATGATTGGATGAAATAAATTATATTTAAATTAAGAGCAATATGTATTTGGGTCTGAAAAATGGATTAGTTATAAGTTTTCATTTTTTAATTAATTAAAAATATTGTAATAAAATTATTGTATATTCATACATAAACTCATACATATATATATTATAACATAGAATAAAGCCTCTATTATGTAGAGTGTCATGGGAACCACATGATTTAATTAAAACTCCAGTTTTCGGTTTTTAACGTATCATATATTTATTTTAATATTCAATGCCAGCTTCGGCTGTGCATTTTAGAAGGAGAGAAGGAGAGAAGGAGAGAAGGAGAGAATTGTCTATAACTCGGGCGTTAAAATAAACTAACAGAATGGTTTGCAAAAAATTCTGGAATAAAACTGGGAAGCAAATTTAGGTCCACTGTTGTGTTGTATTTTTAGATGACAACTAAAATTTTCACCAGTAATATAGGCTTTGGTCTAGTGGCTACAATAATTATAATGTGTGCATTTGATATCGTACTAAAATCAGATACCTCAAAATGTTGCAAACTATGGTTAATATGTTGACCAAATATTGGAAAATAAAAAAGATAAATAATCTAAAGATAAATTCAAACAAATGAAGGATTCTGTATTTTAAGAAAAGTACACGTAAAATGAAAACTGATATAGAATGGTTGTTAGATGAATAACTCTTGAAATTTGAAAGAATTTAATTATATATTAATAAAGATGACCTACACCTACAACACTAATTATAGTAAAAAAAAATTTAAGAATTAGGAGAAGTTAGAGAATAGCAAATTTAATAAATATTGCATGGAGTGAACTCTTTGAGAAGAAAGATGTATGTCCTACCATAAAATACTGTTTGCGACGGCCGTATGAACTATAGTAATATATGAACTATAATAAACGTACCTTTCATTCAGTAATAGGCACGCCAAAATATATAATAAAAAATATTAAATAATTAAATAATATATCTTTAAAAACTATATAACAGTGGCAATAAAACATAATAAAATTCTTTAAGTAGAAAATACTATTTCTTTAAAGTGTTATGGCAAGAGACAATAGCCAATAAAGAACGAGAACGATTTGAATACTCTGCGAAATTTAAACTAAATTATGATCTCAATATCAATATCTATTTCAACGTCTATTACAGAGAAACAAATATTACAAGAATCTTTGGAACGTCACGCGATCTATTACGGTTTGCATACATACCATACTAAAGTCAAGTCAAGTGCACACTTTATCGCCCTGGGGTAATTGAGGAGATCTGATGCAGTCTTTTTTACAAGAATATAATAATACTTCACAGAAGTAAAAATATGCCAATATCAGTCTACTCTTTTATTTTAAATTTACTGATTTGTATTCCATATTCTTATGAAGTCTTTATAGAGCAATTATATCTCTTGGTGTAACTTTTTGTTAATTTTACTTAACCATAACTACTATCACACAAAATTAATATTTTATAATTTTATTTTTAATTTCATTAATTTTGAAGCTGTATTTTCTTTTCAATGCAATATTAATTACACATTGATACGCGTACATATGTAAAGAAACATGAAAGTACACATTACAAAAATTTACTTTCAAACGCAACATTCTTTTATTTGTAATTTTTGTACATATGGAAATTTAATGTCAATAACAAGTTAAATAAACAATAATTTTCTAAAATAATTATTCTGCACCACCCTCTTCATCCTCCTCAAACTCGCCTTCCTCATCGGCTGTGGCTTCTTGGTACTGTTGATATTCTCCAATGACATCATTCATATTACTTTCAGCTTCAGTAAATTCCATTTCATCCATACCCTCGCCTGTATACCAATGAAGGAAAGCCTTGCGACGAAACATAGCGGTAAATTGTTCAGAAACACGCTTAAAAACTTCCTGAACAGCTGTAGTATTGCCTAAGAAAGTAGCTGACATTTTTAGACCACGGGGGGGAATATCACAGACTGCCGTTTTGCAGTTATTGGGAATCCACTCGGCAAAGTAACTACTGTTTTTGTTTTGAATATTAAGCATCTGTTCATCAACCTCTTTCATAGACATTCGGCCACGAAATATTGCACCTACAGTTAAGTAACGTCCATGTCGTGGATCACAAGCGGTCATCATGTTTTTAGCATCAAACATTTGTTGAGTCAATTCCGGAACTGTTAAGGCACGATATTGTTGTGAACCGCGTGAAGTAAGCGGTACAAAACCAGGCACGAAAAAGTGTAGACGTGGAAACGGAACCATGTTAACAGCAATTTTACGTAAATCCGAATTCAATTGGCCAGGAAAGCGTAGACAAGTTGTTATCCCAGACATTGTAGCCGATACTAGATGGTTGAGATCACCATAAGTGGGAGTTGTAAGTTTAAGAGTACGGAAACATATGTCATATAACGCTTCATTATCAATACAAACTGTTTCATCAGTATATTCCAGAAGTTGATGCATACTGAGTGTACAGTTGTAGGGCTCCACGACAGTATCTGACACTTTTGGTGAAGGAAATACAGAAAACGTGAGCATAACACGATCAGCAAATTCCTCACGCAGTTTTGATATTACAAGGGTTCCTAAGCCCGAACCCGTACCTCCACCAAGTGAATGCACAACTTGAAAACCCTAAAAATAAAAAAGTTTTTTCAATTCAATTTTATAATATATGTTTGGTGCTGAAAAATTGAATAAAAAAATATATGAAAAACCACATAAGATATGCAATGAACATATATAGTAAGGACTTTCTTAGATGAATCTTAGTACCAAAATAATTCTTTAAGGTTGCGAAATATCAGTGCCCCTTTGAATATTTTATTAATGTTATAATAAAGTTTACTTACTTGTAAACAATCGCAACCTTCTGCTTCCTTTCTAATGACATCCAACACGGAATCAACCAATTCCGCACCCTCGGTGTAATGACCTTTAGCCCAATTATTTCCAGCGCCTGACTGACCAAACACAAAATTATCAGGACGAAATATTTGACCGAATGCTCCTGAACGAACAGAGTCCATTGTTCCTGGTTCAAGATCAACTAAAATTGCGCGGGGAACATACTTTGCGCCCGTTGCCTCGTTGTAGTATACGTTAATACGCTCCAGTTGCAAGTCACTGTCGCCATAATAACACCCAGTTGCATCAATGCAATGTTCATCTGAAATTACCTCCCAAAACTTAGCGCCAATCTGATTACCGCATTGTCCAGCTTGAATATGTACTATTTCACGCATCTTTTAATAATTCTATAGGATATTTTTTGTGAGCTTAGTTGTAGTTAACGTCGACTTATTCAGATGCTTAAGTGAACGTTCTGTAAAGAAATTATTTTAGAAAGAAAAATTATAACATTTCTTCCAAAATTAAAATTTTTTATAACTTCAATGCTTGCTTGACTAACATTTTCGTGTTTTTGTCGATAATATCATTATTTGACATAAAAAAAGGATATCTCTTAATACAATATAAAAAAATCGTGCATAAGCGCGCAATTAAAAAAATTTTATATCCGATTTTTAATTGTCTACTAAGTATTCACAACCTTTTTAAAAGCATTTCACATATATATATGTATATATATCATTGTCATTAAAGTTATTAACTTATTCACAAAAACCTACATAAAAATATAGCTTATAAGCTTTTACTTCATTCTGGTTAAGAAACTTGGAAGAAACAAAAACAAATAAGAAGCGTTTTTTGACAGCTGTCAGAAATAACAAACACATGACGCAATAGTGTTGCCAGACATACCTGCTCGATTGATTACGTAAAATATTTTAGGCAATCGCTGGTTCCAAATCTTACAATTTTTCTAGTAATTATTATTGGGACTTACGTCAATTTATTATGCAATTTTTTTTTCTTTAGAATTTTTGTTAAAAATATTTTTTTCCAGTTTTTTATACATAGACATAAAAAAATATGACATGGTCTAAGTAATGTATGTTTATTATTATTTTTTAATTAATATAAAGGTAATGCGATTGTTTATATAATGTGTTGATATTATATAATCTTATATTTAAAAATGAATCGAAAAATGTGTTGGTAAGCATATAACTCAACAACGCCTGGACCAATTTGGTCAATTCTTTTTTTAAATGATCGTTGAAGTCCAAGATTGGTTTTTACGGCGAGAAAAAAAATCAAATTATTGCTATTCAATAAAGTTTTATCCTTTATATAAAAATGAATCGAAAAATGTGTTGGTAAGCATATAACTCAACAACGCCTGGACCAATTTGGTCAATTCTTTTCTTAAATGTTCGTTGAAGTCCAAGGATGGTTTTTACGCCGAGAAAAAATCGAATTATTGCTATTCAATAAAATTCATATTACATTAAAAACACTCACTGTTGTCTAAGCAACATCATCAGTATTTCAAATATTTCAAATTTTAAATATAATAATTAAATACTGTCATTAATATGGTTAATGAGCTGTAATTAATTTAAATACATACTAATATTTTACTGACTGTTCTTTTCATATCGTGTTTTGTGAATGCGACACAATTTATATTCGATATGCCTCCTGTAACACGAAGTAATTTAGGTAAAAGAATCCGAAATGCTACAAACCAAACTAATTACCGATCTAATAATACTGCACAAGAACATGACGACTGAAATGAACTTGAAAGAATTTGGATATCACAAACACGTGAAGAGCGAGCGCGACATCAACTCATAATCGCGCAAGTAGGAAATAAGTAGGAACAAAAAACTGGCACATTCCAAATCTTTTTGACAGAACGAAGTCTGT